GTGATGGGATTTTGTTAATTTTTACTTTCTCAATTTTCTGAAAATTTGGAAAATGATAAAAATAAGCATATATTGTTTTCATATTTACAAAAAAATTTTTAAGTTTATTTGTTTATTTTGAGAGAGGAGAAAGCACAAGTGGGGGAGAGGCAGAGAGAGAGACTCCCAAGTAGGCTCCATGCTGCCAGCATAGAACCCAATGCAGGGCTTGAACCCACGAAGCCATGAGATCATGACCTGAACTGATACCAAGAGCTGGATGCTTAACCCACTGAGCCACCAAGGCTCCCCCATAATTACAAAATTTTTGAAGATAGGTTCTTCAACTTGAGACAACAATAGTTTTCACTGAGAATAATAGAACCCATAATAGGTCTGAAATTCCTGGAGAAGGTTTCTAACTGACTCACCTTTCAATATTTCCACCCTCAGGGCAATCATCTGTGACCAGAGGTGACACGATATTGGGATAACAAAACAGCTTCGACTGAATCCATGGGAGAATAAAGATAACTTTTAGATAATTTTTAGAGCATGTGTGCTGGTCGACAATTCCTTAAGCATCCACTCTAGATACTCTGGCCATCCCTGGCTTGCACCAAATGCTGAGATTGTTCTTGTTGACCTTGGAACCCCCAACCCCCATGGACTTTATTGAGTCATGACTCAGAATTTACAACATGGTGGTTAAGCATAGAAATGGGTTTCTGCTGAATGTCTACAAGGCAACACTTTTACTAGGGAAGGCTGGACGCAGGATTCATACACAGTCCAGAGTCTATACATCAGCTTCTAAGTTTATGCCACACTCCTCCAGAAGTTCACGGAATACCATGCAGGCCCAACGGGACACATTTCCCTCTGTGTAGGCATGGAATTCCTTCACCTGAGAAGGAACATTCTCCTTCCACATTTCTCACATCACACACACGCGCATGTGTGCATACACACACACACACACACACACACACACACACACACACACACACTACCACTACCATGCATGTGAAGGCCTTGCCTTCCCGAGACAGTAGCTTATGGTCGGCTGGTGGTTCAGCTGGTCAGCTCTCAGCCAGCAAGCCCCCTCGACCTACCAAATCTGCTGCCCAGCTAGCTGACTTCATTTCCTCCAGCTAACATTGCATATTCTACCATCCAAGTGGTTAGATCATATATCCTTTCCATATGGAAGACCCTTATCTCTCTCAGTTGGTAACTTATTATAATTTGGTAATTCTTTATGTCCAACATACCCCTTTCTATATATAACTCACTATACATTATTGATGAAATTCCACAAATCAGGTGCCCTAATTTTACAAATGCCATACAGTTTTCACTGGCGCTCTCAAATGATAATACTAGGCAGGCCATTTAGTAATGAAAAATTTATCTTTCATTCCATTCCTTTTATTTTTGAAGGACTTTGAGAGAATTATTTGAATATTCCAGTTTCTTAGGTAAAACCCACTGCACAGTGATTCTTGAAAGTACACTTCAAGAATTTTTATTTTTATTTTTTCCATTTTTACTTGCATGTAGAACAGGCAGAGTTTGCAATCCTAAGAGCTACAGGTTAAACAATAGCCTACACTTACCTGCTTGGGCCACTAGGTGGTGCACACATATGTCTGTGAACTGTAGGTTAAGTGGGCTTGTCACCAGGTTAGATGTAATTCATCACCACAGCAGTAGTACAGACAGTAGGAGCTGTTGGAGTCTAAGAGAGCCAGTGATCCTGTGGGTGAGAGTAAAAGAAGGAAAGTCTCCCACAAGAAGTGGATAGCCAGTATTGCTGTCTGCGAAGATGGTAGGAACAAAATCATAAAGACAAAGTAAGCCTAAAGGCGTGGCAGAGGGAAAGCCCTGTGGAGGAAGGGGCATGGTTACTTTCCAGGCTGATTAATTCTTACCTAACAGGGCTGTGGTAGAGGGAATGACAGAATAGTTGAATCATTTGAACCATATGACATAAAACATTCCTTCCAGACCTTTGCACTGGCACTGGAGATAGAGAGATGGAATGACAGTCTTACCCTTGAGTAAGGACCTCCTGAGATTGAAACAGAAGAAACAGACAGTTAAAACAGAGCACGATACAAAAGGTTGGTTTTACAAGATTCATTGGAAGAGCAATGTGTGGACTATTCTGTTGAAAGGAAAGAAGGGGGTTAGGTTTGGAAGTTGGCATGCAAAGAAGATCTCATGGACATCTTGAGCAGTAAGAGAGGACTTCCATGAAGATCAAAGGTCATGAAAGATTAGGCAGAGAGAATGGCATGATCAAAGGCATGGGGAGAGGGTTAAAAGAATAATGTGGATTCCAGGAATGCTTCAGTTGAATTTAGCAAATGCTTACTGAGGGCTACTATATACCATGGACTGAATAATACATCTTCTAGCCCTTATGATGCTCTCCAACTAGTGAGAAAGACACTGAAAATTGCAATATGAGAGGGAAGTGAGATGTGGTCCCTGTTACATTCTCTCTCTGCTCTTTAGCCCTCAGTGCTTTGGCCATAGGGAGTCTCAGGTAAGTCTCTACACCAGAAGAGGGAGCCCACAAGCACGGCACCTTGTTGTACTTGACTCCCTATCCCTGAAGGTGTTTCACTCACTTTCATTTTACAGGTGTGAAGTTTGAGGCCAGAGACATCGAGGACACTATCCAAACCCCACAGAGAAGCCAAGGCACAAGCCCATGTCTGTCTGCCTCCTGTCATATTTTCTTCCCTTTTTTCTCTACTGGACCCTGGACACAGAGTCACTATTTACAGATAGCTCTTTAATTAGGAAATAGACACTTCTCAGATAAATAATCTTTCACCAACATCAGTCATCACAAAGTCAAACTTATAGAAAAATAGAAGGATGCGTTGTTTTCTTTCCTCAAGCATGAGAGAAGTGCTGAGCCACACAGGTTGGCCTTGGCAATGGCAGCTTGAGCCAGTTGTGCCACTGGCCTGGTTCTGCGTTTGGGAGGGAAGGCAGTCTGGCTCCAGCATTCCTTCTAGCCCGTGTGTGTGGGTGTGTGTTTCTTTTCAGAGTGAGGATGTGTGTTCACAATGTAGGTCAGTGACATCTTGGAGTTGCATTGTTTGCTTGGAAATGTCACCTGGAATGAGTTATGAAATAGCAGGAAAACAGTGATGTTGATTGAGAAGTCCTTAAGGGACTTCTTTCAGGCTCATGAGAAGTCATTGAAGTAAAGGGTACAGAGATCTTAAAGAGGTTTTGACTGGGACAGATCAAAGTCAAACAGAGGAGGAGAGAGACCATAAGGGCGAGGAGATTTGAGACCATGTCTTATGAGGAAAGGACACAGGGACTAGGCATATTTAGACTGGAGAGAAGACACAGATCTTCAGATGTCCAAACTCTTGTCATGGGCTGAGGCAGCTAGACACAGTAATGGTGTCATATGAAAGCAGCTTTTAACCCTGATCAAAGTACAGCTATCCAACTGATAAGAAGTAATGAACTCCCCATCAAGAAAAGGGATGAAACAAGCAATGTGGGGCCATTGCAGAAGGGATTCCTCACCTGGTAGCAGGTCAAACTCAGTGACTTTTGAGCTCCAAGTATCCATAATTCTATGAAAAAGGAAGAGGTAACTTATATAAACCAAGGGTCATGTGGTCTATAGTAACAACAACAACATCAGTACTGAATATCTTTTAGGTGAGCACCTATTAAGTATCAGGCACCATCATAATGATTTATGTACATTGTCATATTTGGGGCTTTCAGGCCAGCATTAGAACTGACTAAATTCTAATCCGGGCCCTTCCATTTAATGAAGAGGTGCTCTTGGAAGATAATTTTCCTCTCTGAATTTCATGCCACTTCTCTGTATAATACAAACCCTGTAGGATTGCCAAGAGTATGAAAAGACATGACACATCAAAGCACCCAGTACTGTGCCTGGCCTATAGTTGGCACTCAAAAAATGTTTCTGCCTTCTCATTTCTGCTTAAGCAGAATTTCAATAAGCCATTCCCCATTCTTGGAGAAAGACAAGATAAATAGGGAAATGCAGGTAAGGTGAAATATGGCAAAGGATCTATTAGAAGAAATACTGGGTAATCAGAAGTCACTACGAGATGTAGCCTAGAGCAATGGTTCTTGTTTGCTTGTACCCTTTTGGAGAAAAAAAATATAGATTTCTGGGACTATTTATGGAAAATCAAGTGTAGGAAAGAGAAAGAAGTCATCTGGGGCTTAAGAAATCCTGGCTTAAGTCTTTAAGAGAGTTGCTCACTGCCCCACTCCCAGCCTCCAATACCCACTTCTCCAACCTCAGGTTCCCATGACATCCAATTCAGGACAGAGCTTTCCTGTAGGTATGCTGTAATGTGGGGCAAGCCTACTGAGATATTGATCTCCTCAGCCCTTGGGGTAGCCAGGGCCAATTGCCTACAAACATAAGCAGCCTCACCCACATGGACTAGTGCACCAGGCAGATACTTTTGCTATGATTGTTATATGTTACAAAGATATGAGGATTCAGTTAGAAAAGAAATGGTTTCATCATCAGTAATTAAAATTGTCATAGCATTGCTGAGCAAATTAAATAAATAAACCAGCCCAGGAGTACCTTGGTTAGAGAGGAATATGAGGAGGGTGACAGGGACGTAGGGACCCATGCAAAGAGGATTGCCAAGAGATGAGATACTTAAACAGTGGGGCTAGCATGAACAAAGGGCATCTCATACAGAGGACGTGAGCTCATGGCCTTTCCCTAGGTATAAAATAGGTTTGACTGGAAGACCTCTAAGGCCTCTCACCTCTGACTGTACAAGGATGAACAAAAAAGCCATCCATTCCCTTTGTCTCTAGGGTGCAATGCCTCTCTGCAGAATTGTGAGCAAGCACCACATTCTCCCCTTTATACCCTGCTCTGTGTATCTGAATATCCCTTTTGTGTGTCCACCCTAAGCTGCTAAGCACAGTTCGCTCTCGCTCAATTTAGTGATCTCATAGTATGTTTTCTTTTGCAGCAACAGCGGCAGCTTGACCTCCTGACAATCACCAGCCCTGGTGAGTAGGTGCAGCCGTTCTGCTTTGGCTTTTCCCTTATTTCCCAAAGCGATGCCTGTTTGCCTATCCAAGTGCAATTCCTGCCTTCCTCCTTTGACTCCCTGGATGAACAGCAGAACTCTTAGTGCCATGAACAATGCTTCTCCCTTCATTCTCTGCCTCACAGGCATTTCCTACCCCCACCCCCCAGCTCCGTGCTGCCTCCTCTTGACTCTGCAGATGGCAGGACTGATAATCTGATGTTGCTACATATTCCAGGGCCAAATTCTCCCCAGATCGTTCAATGGACTCAAGTGTCAAGGAAATGTCTTGGTCGCATGAGAAATGAGTTTCGAAATCATGGGGAGCAGGAAAGCTGCCTGGCAGGGGGCATGGAATGGACGAAGGATGGCTTATGAGGAAGGACTAGTCTGGAAAAGTGATTAGGTTTGGTATTCTGTGCTGAAGGTCAGAATAACTCTGGTCTCACTTTAGGGGAAATTCAAGTTCCCCAACAAAGCTGTGGCCATGGGAATTCTTCCCCCTAGGCCTGGCATCTAGCCTAGAGAGTGGTTGAGTAGTTTAGTTTTTCCAGAGAGGTATTTTATTTTGGTTTGGGAACTTGAGGCAAAACTGGCCAACAAAAGTTGCTATTCTCTCTTGGGATCCAAGAGGATGATGATGCCAGCAGGGTTAGTGAGCTTTCAAGAATGGGTGTGGTGGGTCATCTTTATCCATTCAAAATATTTAGCAATGCTGGTGAACCCCTGCTGTGCTAGACATTAACACTTTGGTTACTGGACTGGAGGGATATGGGATTGTGAGGGAGGGGCAAATGTGGTAGAGTGGTCATATGGCAGGGTTGGGGGCTCTAGGAGTGGCTTAATTACTGATAAATATGGAGGCATTTCAATATCTTGGCATCCAATATTTCTATACCATGGTATCTCTGGCTCTCACCAAGCTTGCCATGCTGTACCTGGGTGCCAGCTGGCTCACTTACAAAGAGATTGAGAAACTGCCCTCTGCAGGCACTATCTTAGCACAAAGGCTAGTCATCTGGTCTCAGTCACTGAGGTAAAAGACAGTGACTACAAATGTAAGTTGGGTCTACCCAGTTCAGGTGACCTTCCGCATTTCCATCTAATAGAGCTTTTTGAGCTTAGGACTTTAGAAGAACAGAGATTAAGTGGTTTAAAAATGTTTAATCTGCTCTATAGATGAGCTATGTTCAATGCATATATGATTAACATATAGAAATTTCAAATCATGGGCTAACATAACTAGAGTGGCTCACGTGTGTGACATGTGACCTACCAATCCCTCCCAGCAAGGTGCTGGTGAGGGAATATCTCTGTCCTTCTTTGGTTTCTGTCCATTGTAATTGTGTACTATTCTACTCCACATGTGCTAACCCAGATTGCCTGTTTCCACATTCCAGTTTCATCTTGTTACATCCTGATATGATGCAGACGTATGAATTGGAGGGGATTCTTGATATGTCTTTAGACCCTGTTTACTGTAGTTCTTTTGTGCTAGCTCTTTCTGTTCCTAATTGCTGCTGCACAAATTCAAGCAGAGTAGTAGTGACTCTGAGTGTACTCCTTTTGAAGAGCTACAGAATTGCAGAATAATAAGCGCTGCCAGAGTTTGGAATGGTTTATAATTTTACCTACTTTTAGATATTATCTAAAATGTCTCCTGGGTAAAAGCTTCCCAAAAGGTATAGCATGGCACACTGTGTACTGCAAGTAGGCTACCTTTGTGTGATATTATTGTGAGATTTGCACCTGTGAGATATTGATCCACTTACCTCTCAGGGGCACAGGTAGGACTTGAGTAACTGGAGCCTCCAGGGTGGTAGTCTCACTCCATTGTACAGGACAAATATCCATATGCGCCATGACATGGAAAGATTGGGAAGCACCATTAGACCAGGTATTATCTGGACAACTTCTATCCCATGTCAAAAGCACTTTCCTCCATTGCGACTGACCATCCCTCGCTTTTCATATCATCCCTATTCCCTATCTCCAGAAGCTGTAGCAGCAACAGCGGGCTTGCTACCTCTCTGGGGCCGTCAGTGGGAGGTACTAGCTTGTCTGTACTCCTCACCACCATCCTCCACACAGAGCTTCAATCTGATGGTGCCACTCTTCATATACTAAGAGCTTTCAGAAGTGCAGGTTGGGAATTTGGAAGCCTTAATAATCTGTGTTATCTTCTTTTCTTATTTTTTTTACTGTGAATAATTTTGAATATACAGAAAAGAGTAGAGATATAATGAACAGCCTTTATTGCCCTCCCTGCTCCACCAAACATGTTGGCTTTATCATATCAATATTGAGCCATCAATGCCACAGAGTCCCCTATTTGAAAAATTTATAGATCTAGTTGAGACTTTTCTATACTCTTACTGATTGCAGCTTTCTCCCTTCACTCTCCAGGTAACCACTATAATAAATTCTATTTTTTTCTGTATCTGTGTATATAAAAATAAAGTAGCTATAACTGGTATTCTTTTACAAATTCCTCTAAGTGATGCCACACTGTAAATGGCATTCTGTGACTTTTCCCCTACTCATTATTATATTGTACAGATTGATTCATGTAGATACATATACTACTGGTTCATTCATTTTAACTGCTATATAGTATTCCACATATGATTGCATTGCAATTTATTTATCCATTTTTTGATCATAATTTAGGCTATTTTCAGTTTTTTATAATGGCAAGCAATGCTACAAAGAGTGTTTTTGTGCATTACTCCTGTGTATAACCATGAGAATTTCTCTAGGGCATATAGTTAGGAGAGGAATTCTTGATTTTGTGCATGTTCAAATTTACTATGTAATTACGGCCAGTTGTTTTCCAAGGTAGTTGAACAAATACATGCTTCCAATGGAAAAGTGTAAGGGTTTCTATTTCCTTAAATCCTTAATACTTGGAATTGTCAGGCTTACAAAATTTTACCACTCATCATGATAAATGTGAAATGGTATCCGATTGTTTTTATAATATTTGTTTCCCTGATTACTGATGGTTGAGTATATTTTCAAATGTTTATTGACCACTTTGGTTTCTTCTTTGGTGAATTGACTTTTCATATCCTTTTTCCATTTTCCATTGATTTGTTGTTTCTTTTTATTGATTTATAATCCTTTATTATTCCAAATATCAATACTTTGTCACTTATATGCATTGCAAATATCTTCTCCCAGACTGGGGCTTGTGGTGTTTTTTTTTTTTATTAATAATGTACTTTTACATGGAAGATTTTTAAAAATTTAATGGAGTTAAATTTATCAACCTCTTGCTTTGCTTTTGTGACTTATGTAAGAAATCTTTCCTTCCCTGGATATCATACTCTTCTGTATTTACCTCTAAGAATTGTCAAGTTTTATTTCATACTGAGTCTTTATCTCATTTAGTAATGATCTTTTGTATAATATGACTTAGGGATTTACTTATTTTTTTTTTGTTTACATATGGATAACCCATTGTCTCAGCACCATACAACAACTACTGCATCCCTTCTCCCACTTATAAGCAATTACATGCCTGTCATATAGAAATTATCCTATATACAGAATCTGTTTCTGAGGTCTCTGTATTATTCCATTGGTCTACCACACTTACTCTGAATTAACTCCACACTGTCTTACTTATAATACATCTTAATTTTAATATTATTTTTATAATTAGTAGGGAGATATCCTTCTCCTTTTCCCTTTTATGGAAATCTTTTGGAAATACTGGTATCTGTTGTTTTTTTTTTAAATAAAATCCAATAATCTATGTATTGTGACAGGTGAATTTAATCTATTTGTATTTATTATAATTACTGATATATTTGGATAAATATCTACTACCATATTTGTGCTTTCTGTCTATCATTTATTTTATTTTTTTTCTCTTGTCCTCCCTTTTTTGGTATTATGTTTTATATATTACTTGCTTTCCCCCTACCCAATCTACAGATTTGGATGCTATTGATTTTATTTCTGACTTTAACTGATTACCTTTGGATGTACATTTGATTATATATTTTCTTACAAAATCTACAGCCTTTCACAAAATTAGCCTTCATAATAAGCTGAATAAAAGATAAACTAGTTGGGGTGCCTGACTGGCTCAGTTGGTAGAGCGTGCAACTCTTGATTTTAGGGTCGTGAGCTCGAGCCCACGTTGGCAGTAAAGACAACTCAAATAAATAAATAAACTTAAAGAAAAAAAAAAGACTAGTTGTTGTATGGTGCTGAGACAATGGGTTACCCATATGTAAACATGCTTTAACCACCTATTGAACACTGTCCTGTCACCACCTAATTATTATTATTTTAGACTTCTCAGTTAAACTGTTGCAAAAAAGAAAAACAATGAATTACTAACAGTACTGAACTAATTTACTTTTCCTACACAGCTTATAAATTTTGTGTTCTTATTATGTATCAAGATTTCCTGTTACCTTATTAAAGTGAATCCTTTTTTTTTTCTTTAATTTACTTATCTATTTTGAGAGAGAGAGAGCGCACACGCATACACAAGTAGGGAAGCTATAGAAAGAGAGAAAGAGAAAGAGAGAATCCCAATCAGGAGGAGCCTGATATGGGCCTTGAACTCAGGAACCATGAGATCATGACCTGAGCCAAAATCAGCTGCTTAACTGACTGAGCCACCCACATACCCCAAAGTGAATCCTTTAATAGCTATTTAGTGAGAGTCCACAGGCAACCCTCTTAATATATGTTTGTCCTTATTTTGACTTCTCTCTGGAATAATAGTTTGGCTAGGTATAAATTCTAGTTTGAGAAATTTCCTTTGTACTTTGAAGACTTTTAAAACTTGTTTTCTGACATACATAATTGCTGATGAAAAGTCTTCCATTATTTGTTTTTAAAAAAATTTTTTAATGTTTATTTATTTTTGAGAGAGAGACAGAGCACGAGCAGGGGAGGAGCAGAGAGGGAGACACAGAATCGGAAACAGGCTCCAGGCTCTGAGCTGTCAGCACAGAG